GTTCCTTATCAGGAGCTTACACGCCAAGGGTTTCAGTGACTACTCAGTCTCTACCATTGGTGGGCTGTGCGACCTTAGCCAAGACCCTGGCCTTCGCTGAGCCTCAGGAAGTTCTCTGAACTCGGATCCTGTGGTTCTTTCCTGTCCTGTTGACCTATCTTCAGAATGTTTGTGGGGTTTCCAACCTCCTTCCTCATCCTAGGAGCACGGGTAGCCTTAAAATCAGGCCAGCTTCTTTTTAGTCACTGCAGCTAACTAACTGGTGACCTGAGTCAGGTTGTTTCACCTGTCAGAGCTGCGATGTTCCTCCCACTCTTCACATACAGGAAAAGTCGTACTCAGGCCCGGAAGAACATCCGTTATCCACATGGAGTGACCACCTTAGCTGGATAACCATGAAAATGTCTCTTCCCTGTCCCAAGCCTCGCTTTCCTTATTTAAAATTGGAATGGTGGGCTGGAGGGATGGCTCAGAGGTTAAGAGCACTGACTGCTCTTCCAGTGGACCCAGGTTCAATTCCCAGCACCCGTGTAGCAGCTCACAACTGTCTGTAACTCCTGTCCCTGAGGGTGTGAGGACACCCTCACACAGACATACATGCTGTCAAACACCAGTACACACAAAATAAAAATAAATAAATCTTAAAAAATGTTGGAGTGATATGACCTTAGTGTGAATTAACCAAGATAAACCAGGTGTGGTGGAGCACACCTGTAATCTCAGCACTTGAGAGGTAGAGGCAGGAGAGCCCTGAGTTTAAAGTCATCCTTCATGCCACAGTGAGTTCCAGCTGAGCCTGGGAAATACAAGACCCTATTTTTTTTAATATTTATTTTTATTTTATGTACATTGGTGTTTTGTCTGCATGTGTGAGGGGGTTGGATCTCCTGGAACAGGAATTATAGACAGTTGTAGTGCTATGTGGGTGTTGGGAATTGAACTCAGGTCCTTTAGGAAAAGCAGACAGTGCTCTTAACCGCTGAGCCATCTCTCCAGCCCAAGATTTAAAAAAAAAATTAACTGGGCTGGAGAGATGACTTGGCAGTTAGGAACACTGGTTTCTTTTCCAGAGGTCCTGAGTTCAATTCCCAGCAACCACATGGTGGCTTGCAACCATCTGAAGCCCACTTCTGGTATGCAGGCACATATGCAGATAGAGCACTCATAGACAAAGATTTATGATGTATACAGTGTTCTGCCTGCATGTACACCTGATCACCAGAAGAGGGCACCAGATCTCATTTTAGATGGTTGTGAGCCATCTTTCCAGCCCCAAATAAATAAATCTTAAAAAAAAAAAAAAATTTTTTTTTTTTTTTTTTTAACTGAGATACTTTCCTGAGATGCTCTTAGCTCAGTGACTGCTCTAAACAAAACAAAAAACTGTGATGTAGCTTAGTGGTAGAATCCTTCGCACATTCGAGGTTTTGGGTTCCAGCCAAAATACTTCAACACACACACACACACATACTCCAAAAGCTGATGATTCTTTTTATTTCACTCTCATCCAGTCCTGTCCTGTTTGGCACAATTGTCAGGAGAATTCATGTTGCAGGGAACAAGAAGAAGTAGGGCGGGTGTGGTGGTACACATCTTTAATCCAAGCACTCAGGAGGTAGAGGCAGGGGATCTCTGAGTTTGAGGCCAGCCTGGTCTACATATCAAGCTCTACACGAGCCAGAGTTACGTAGTAAGTCCCTGACAATAAATAAGGAGCTGAAGAGATGGCTCATCAGTTAAGAGCATGTGCTGTTTTGCCAGAGGACCTTTGTTCTGTTTCCAGAACCCACATGATGGCTCTTAAACATCTGTAGCTCCAGTGCCAGGGGATCTGATACCCTCTTCTGGCCTGCATGGGGCACTCATGCACTCAAAACCGGACTGACCAGGGGCCACTGTGAGGTGAAAGAACTGTCACGTCCAGGAATGGTGAATGTGAAATCTGGAATTTTCTAAATTATTCCAGAAAAAAAAAAATCTACATTTTTCTCATGATCATTACAAAGTGTGTGGCACTTTTCACTATGACAAAACACTCCAGGGAGGCCAAGTGTGTTGACTAGATTTGCAACAACTCGACACAAACTAGTCATCTGCGAGGAAGAAACTTGGAGAAAATGCCTCTGTAAGATCCGGTGGATCAGTCTGTAAAACAATTTCTGAATCAGTGGTTCATGGGAGATAGCCCAGTCTACTTTGGATGGGGTCATCCTTGGGCTGGTGGTCTTGGGTTCTGTAAACAAACAAACAAACAAACAAAACAGGCTGGGCGAGCCAGTAAGCAGCACTCCTCCATGGCCTCTGCGTCAGCTCCTGCCTGCAGGTTCCTGCCCAGCTTGAGTTCCTGCCCTCACTGCTTTTGCTGATGACCTGTTATACGGAACTGTGAGTGAAATAAACACTTTCCTTCCCAAGTTGTTTCTGGTCACGGTGCTTAATCCCAGCAATAGCAGCCCTAACTAAGACATCAGTTCTAGGCATTGGTAGGTGGGCTGACAAAGGACAGAAACAGGCCGAAAACGGGTAGCCAGTCTCCCGGGTAGCCAGCCTATTCCAAGAGTCCTAAGGGGGCTCTGCGCCGTCGCAGAGGACCTTTTATTGCGGCGATTTGTAGAGCCAAGGTCCCGCCTGCCTCCTGCTCCAGCTGTGCGGAAAGACAACTCCGAGGGAATCGGGATCTTCTCAGACCACACTGTCCGCGGCGGCAAGAGAAAGCCACATCCGAGTCCTAAAGCGTTCCCGGGGAGACGGCGAGGCCTAGCGACAGTTCCGGCTGAGAGCCGAGCCTCCCGGTCAGGGTCCGACGTGCAGCCACGCGCCCCTCGGTGAGCAGAGACGAGCCCCAAGCCCTCTACGGGAGCGTCACTTCCGCCCTCGGCCTGCCACACGGGAGCCGCAAAGCCGCGGGGAGGGGGGGGCGCGTCTTATTTGCGTCACTTCCTGTGAGCCCAGCGGCGACCGCGGCAACATGGCCTTGAACGGCGCGGGTGAGGACTTGGGTTGCCCGGGCTGTGGCCGTTGGGTGCGGGAGGGAGTGCTCTCGGCCCTGACTCCATCTCCTCGTGCCGCTTTCCCCCCCAGAGGCCGAGGATTTCTCCTGGGAGCCTCCGACCGAAGCTGAGACGAAGGTGCTGCAGGCGCGACGGGAGCGGCAGGATCGCATCTCCCGGCTCATGGGCGACTACCTGCTCCGTGGTTACCGCATGCTGGGCGACACGTGCGCGGACTGCGGGGTGAGGCCTCGGACCCGGCCGGACGCCCTTTCCTCAGCTCTGGCTTCTGTGGGTCCTGTCGCTCAGGCTCACCAGTGTCCGTGTACTTTCTGGTTCCCAGACGATCCTCCTCCAAGATAAACAGCGGAAAATCTACTGCGTGGCTTGTCAGGAGCTCGACTCAGACGTGGATAAAGACAACCCGGGTGAGGGGATGAGTGGGCGCGGTGGGGCTGGTTGACGGGAACAGTAAGCCCGAAAGGTGACGGCCGAAGTTGGTGCGCGCGCGCGCGGCGGGATTACGGCGTCTTCTCCTTTCAGCCCCAGAGAGGAGGAGATTCATTGCAGAAAAACACTAAACCTTGGCTCCCGACCCTGTGGGAAGAATCCGAGCCAACTTAGCCATCCCCACGTGTAGAGTAGAGGTGCGACGCTGGGCCTGGAGCATGCCGGGCAAGCGCCTTACCACCGAGGTACACAGCCCAGCCTCCAGGCGCAGACTTGATGGCTAAGTGAGGCCGGGACAACCGTCAGGCCACTTGGTACTCAAGTGTAAACTCGGCGCTGCAGCCCCTGCCCAGCGTGTGTAAGGAGAAAGATAGGGCCTCGATGGTGTTCCTTACCCAGAAAGCACCAGGAGCACAGGACGGGCACAGACTAGAGGTGGATGTGGCACCCTGACCGCCCCACCTCTTCTTTTATTTTAGCTCTGAACGCGCAGGCGGCCCTCTCTCAAGCTCGGGAACACCAGCTGGCCACGGCTACAGAGGCTGCCACGGCCTCTCGGCCCACGTCCCAGCCCCCAGTACCCCGCCCAGAGCACTGTGAGGGGGCTGCAGCGGGCCTCAAGGCATCCCAGGGGCCTCCCCTTCCTGCTGCACCTCCAAATGCAGATGTAGTGGCGTCCACACAGTCAGCCCTCCTGCAGAAGCTAACCTGGGCTTCCGTTGAGCTGGGCTCTAGCAGCTCCTTGGAGACTAGTATCCAGCTGTGTGGCCTCATCCGGGCTTGTGCGGATGCGCTAGGCAGCCTGAAGCAGCTGGAGCACTGAGACCTATCCCCCCCACCCCCACCCCGTTCCCCTGAGAAGAACCCTCTAGAAAAACAGCCGATCTCTGTGTGGTTTGTTCCTTTCTTGGTTCTGAGTGTGCATGCAAGCCCCCGGTCTGCTCGTCTTTTTTTCTTTTGACATCTCACCCCTCCGTGGTCTTTCCTACCTGAGGTTTTGCATTCCGGACAAGGGTAAACAGTAGAGGGCTCGGTCAGCAACACCTTATTCCCAGGAGTGGCATCAGCCTCCTCGAAGACCGGTCCACCAGCATTGTCTGTGACCCAACCCCCCCCCCCCCCACACACACACACCTCCTGGACTTGAGTGCCTCCAAAGTTCCAGTCCCCTTGGTGGCTTCCCTTTCCTCCTTTGAGCATCTTGGTTCCATCATTCCATCTTATACCCCCTGGGGTGTTGACACATGTGGGGTCCCAGCGATGCCCTTTAAGAGCCGGGCACAGTCTTACCCCAGACTCCAGCACCCACATCCCCAGGCTTTTAGCATCCTTCCCTTGGGAGAGGAATCATGTAGAACCTGTGGTGTGGGAATAAGGCATTAAAAAGCTGCCCAAGAATCCTTCCTGACCTTTTGTGCCTCGCCTCTCCCAGTGCTTTGGTGGGTTGCCGGGTCCCACAGTCGTCGCCCCCTTAAGGGAAGCCCCGCCTAATGCAGCGGGGTGGAGCATAGGCGGAGTCGGAGGAGCCTAGGAAGGAACAAAGCGCGGCCTGCGGGCGGCGGCTGGCTCCCTCCGGAGGCTGGGCCACCGGGAGCGGGGCCTGTGGGCCGCGGCCGCAGCGAAGCATTGGAGGGCTTCGGGTGGCATCGCGGGCCGCGCGGACCCGGGTATGAACGGGCTCCCCTCAGCCGAGGCGCCGGGCGGCGCGGGCTGCGCTCTAGCCGGCCTCCCGCCGCTGCCGCGCGGCCTCAGCGGCCTCCTCAACGCCAGCGGGGGCTCGTGGAGGGAGCTGGAGCGCGTCTACAGTCAGCGGAGCCGCATCCACGACGAGCTGAGCCGTGCCGCCCGCGCCCCGGACGGCCCCCGCCAAGCCGTGGGGGGCAGCAGCTCGGGCCCTGCAGCTGGCCCCCGCCGCCCGGTCAACCTGGACTCCGCGCTAGCGGCTCTGCGCAAGGAGATGGTGAGTAGGTGGGCGCCCTGCCAGGGGTTCCGAGGAGAGGGCAGAGACATCTGGAATCAGTGTCCCCATCGCAGGTCCAGCGGGAGGCGTCTGGTCACGGGGCGCTAGGACAGCTGTAATAGTAACAATGTGTAACATTAAAAAAAACAAACTTGCCCGATTTTGCGGGACAATGTTATCCCATTGTATAAATAAGGGCAAAGGACTGGCTTAAAGGCTTCACAGTTGACAAGTGCCATCTGTTCTCAGAACTTTCCCTCAGGAAGGTGCGGGAGGATCGGACGGGGTTGTTGACCGCGGTGGGGGATCTGGGGCCCGGGGGCGGCCTGGACCCCCAACTCCAGCCCACTGTCAGTTGTCTGCAGGTGGGGCTGCGACAGCTGGACATGTCCCTGCTGTGCCAGCTGTGGGGCCTGTATGAGTCGATCCAGGACTACAAGCATCTGTGTCAAGACCTGAGCTTGTGCCAGGACCTGTCGTCCTCCCTGCACTCGGACAGCTCCTACCCACCCGACGCCGGCCTGTCCGACGACGACGAGCCTCCCGACGCCAGCCTTCCCCCAGACCCTCCGCCGCTCACCGTGCCCCAGACCCACAACGCCCGTGACCAGTGGCTGCAGGACGCCTTCCAGATCAGCCTCTGAGAAGCCGAGGTGGCTAGCAATGCGCCCGCACAAAAGGCTCAAAACTTGCCCCTCCGCAGGTCCTTAGTGCCTGCTCCTCACCGGACCGCCTCACCTCACTCCAGGAGGGCAAGGCATCTTACCCATCAGGCAAAGCGGCCGAGACACAGCCTCGGCCCGGTGCCCTGGGCTTCCGCCTCTCCAACATGTGTGCACCCTAGCTTGGCCAGCCCTTAGTCTGACCGTGGAGCTCAAAGTATCTTGCACTCCCGCTGGCATCTCTGGGACCGGGATGAGTGCTTAGCTTCCATCTCTTTTTACGTCTTTTGCTGCTACTTGCAGCTGCTGGCTCAGGGGCGTCCCTACCTACGGCCCCAGGGTTTCACTACCTGGGACAAGGGCTCCAGGACCCATCTCTGCAGCCATTCAGGGCCAGAGAGGCTGAGGTCTCTATGCTGGATATGTAAGTTTAGAGGCCAGTTCCTGGATGGGAAAATAAATAAATACTTTGAACATTGTATTCGAAACGTGTGGCTAATTGTTACTGGGTTGGATGGTGTTTTCTGGCAAGTGTGGTTGCGTTCCGCCGGCAGGTGGCGCCCAAGTCCCTCCCTCGTGAAAGGCTTAGCGGGCGCGGGATGCGAATCTTCCCGGGGTGTTGGGGGCCGAGGGTGGAAGTGTTCCAGGCTGCCGGAGCCTGGCCCTGCAGCAGAGTGACGGCGACGAAGACCCTTCTCTTTACGATCTAAGTGTTAGAGCCCAGCTTTGCCCTTCCTCCCGGCTCTGAGCCTTCCAGGAAGGAAGGAGCCGCCCATCTTGAGGAGAGAAACTTTCCACCTCCAGTGCTGGGCGGAGTTGTGGCACAGGAAATGGGTGGGCCGGAGCTGGCTGACCCAGGGGCCCGTGTGTGGGGAAAGCTCCGTGTGCCCGGGGGCTGTAGGGCCGGTGGGAGGGAGAGATGCAGACGTCGAAGGGAGGGAACAAACCCTGGAAGGGAAATGGCCTCAGGGCTCAGAGCATCGTTTCTGGAGGTTCAGGGCCCTAGGCACCTCCGTGGCGCTCTCAGACCGCGCAGCCGCCCCCGGACCTCAGCACGGAGGACTGTGGTATTGGACATACAGGGGCCTCCTTACAGAGGAAGCCCAGGACCACACCGATAGGATAGAGACCAAACCGGGCGTCCAGCCCACCCCCCCACCCCCCACCGCGCCCCTACCCCCTCTCGCCATCACTTGCCTGCTGGAGACGGCTAGCGTTCCTGGAAGCCCGGACGTCCCGTCTAGGCGGGGAGACAGTGCACTGACGCCCCAGGGCACCTCTCTAACTGGGGATAAAGCACCTTGCAGAGGCTCATTACCATTCGCGTCGGATGGGTGAGTGATAAGGAGTCTAATCAGGCGTCAACACCACGGCAAACGCCCCAGGGACTTCCCAGGGGAGGAGGACAAACACACACCTTTTCTCTAGTTCCGATAACGGAGCGCATTTAACGAGACTCCGCAACACCAGCCCGGCCCTAACCGCTGGCCCCGGTTTCAACCTTCTAGGACCAGAAAAGACAGGACCACAGTTGGCCCCATTTAACAGGCTTCAAAGCTGAGGCTCGGGGTGTTGGCACTTTGGCCAAGGCGGCACTCTCGAGTGGAACCCAGTATTTGAACCCTTCACCGCGAAATGAGGATGGTTTTCCCGCGTGGCAGCTGAGCAGTCAGGCTCTGAGCCACCAGACTCCGCGATTTTCTTCCCTGGTTAAGACACGAGTGTTCACAAGGCTCTCCCACCCCGGAGCTAAGGCCCCCTCCAGGTCTCTGCCTTCCAGACTTGGGAAGTAGGGGACCAGCCAGTACCACAAAAGGCTGCGCGCAGAAAGGGAGGCGCTGGGGCAGCTCTTCGGAGGGCGGCACCCAGCTGAGGGCTGTCGTCGCCTGGAGCCCACACGTCCCTCCAACCCCATCCGGCCCGCGGGCGCCCACCGAGGCGACTTTGCGGTGGGGACTCCTCCATCCCCAAGCCGGGGACCCGGGCGTCCGGGTCGCCACGCCGGGTCCCGGAAGCGGGGTCGCCCCGCCCCACGCCGCGGCCCCGCCCACCTCGGACGGGGGTGCGGCTCCAGGAAACGGTGCGCTCGCCGCTCGGAGCTCCGACCGCCCCGCGGGCTCAGCCAGTCCACCCGGCGGACCCCGGCGGCCAGCCTAGCAAGCATCTCCCGAGGTCCAAACCTCAGACGCATCTACGCGGACGGGGCGGACGGGACGGGCAACGCGGAAAGGGGCCCCAGAGACCATGGGGACCCCGGCTGGGCTAGCAGTGGCGGGCAAGCGCGAGCCCCGAGCCTGAGGAGAGCCTGAGGCGGGATCCGCTAGGGCCATGACTTCGGTGTGGAAGCGCCTGCAGCGAGTGGGCAAGCGGGCCGCCAAGTTCCAGTTTGTGGCCTGTTACCATGAGCTGGTGTTGGAGTGTAGCAAGAAATGGTGAGTAGAAGCGAGGCCCGAGGGGGTACCCCAGACTTAAGTGGGACTCCGTTTAGCTTGGCCGGTTGGAGACTGAGAAAAATCCCCTCAAGTCTGATGGCTAAGGGGGTTCCTGTCCTAGGTGTTCCAGGCACTGAAGTGCCTTGCAGCTTGGGGGACCCCAGGAGTTGTGATGTGTGGACAGGGTTGGGTGCGGGGAAGAGGGCAGGGCTCACAGGCAGGTGGAGAGTCCTTATACACCTACATTTAAATCAGCTGGGGTCAGGCCTGAGGGAGGGAGGAGGCTTCGTCCCTCAAGCCCAGAGCTGTGGCTCAGGGTGGCAGTGGAAAACGAACAAGTTTAGAGGTCTTCCAGGTGGCCGAGGCTGGGGAAGGCTAACCGGGTCTTGGTCCAGTTCGCAGTGAAGATGTGGCCTTCTCCTTTCCTGCCCTTCCTTCCCCCTTCAGCCGGAGTGGGCCCCAGAGGCTGGAGATGTCTCCACAATGTCCTTAAAAGGGGAAACTGAGCTTGGAGGGATGGAGAGGGAGGCGGGGAGAGACTTAAAGGGCCCCGAGGTCTTTGGAGGTGGTGGGTGAAGGAGGTGAGGGTCTGTGGAGGGAAAGATAGCTGGGTTAGAGGACATCACGCTGGAGAGTAACAGGCCTTGGACTGTCCAAGGGCCCCCCTGGGGCGTCTGGCTTACATGCCCCCCACTGGGCAGCTGCCCGGGCCCCTGCGTCACACCCTAAATATATGTGCTCACTGGTGTCAGCTTCCCTTGGCTGGATTAGGGCACAGCTGTAGGGGCCCTCACAGGCCAGGCGGGGCTAAATATAGACTCCCAAGGGGGAAGAGCTGGGGTAGGCCGGAACCATGGGGTCTAAAGGGAGAGGAATGAGCAGAGGCCGGGGTCCCTGGAGCGGTCACCATTAATCTCTGCCCTTGAACATGCTGGGCCTCTTGGGAGGCCCTTTCTGCAGTAAAGGCTGAGGGAGAAGGGGAGCCAGCTGGAGTAGCACAGCAGAGCTGGCACTTGAACTCTGGCCTCTGGCTCCTGCCCCAGCATTCTGGGTGAGGCCAAAGGGACGCTGGGCACGGTCCTGGTGAGCAGACAGAGGGGACAGACAGGGTCAGTGGGCTGAGTCACAGGCAGCATGGATAAGGCCCGCTGGGCTTCTTAGCCAGGAGCCCAGGACAGGAAGCTGCCCCAGCCTAGGTCCCAGAAAGGCGTGCCTGCCTGAGTCAGGCTGCCCAACCAGGCCACACCCTCCCTGGGCACCCCTGCTGTTTCCCTTTTCTGGGAAGGCTTTGCTGGGCCATTGCCTGCGGTTTGGGGCTGGGAATGGTTGCTTACTTCTGGGTCAGAGGACTCTCGACTCAGCTGTGTGACCTTATCTGGCCTATTTCTTTGTGTCTCAGGAACCTCAAGGGTTAACGACAACCCTCTTGTCCTGCCTCAGCCTCCAGAGAGGCTGTGAGTTGTGTGACCTGAGTATCCAGGTGTGGGGCTGGAAATAGACAGGGAAGGCCCTCATGCTTCACCTGATCCTTTCCTTGACCAACCCCACCCTCCTGGGCAGAGGTTAGACACTAGCCTAAAGAGGCCCAGTCCTCAGGGCCCAGCCACGTGCCAGCCCAGCTCTCTCCTTGCTTGTCTCTGCCTTTCCGGAGTCTGTGCAACACATGCTTGCTGTTCAGCATAGCTGTCACTGCCTGGGAGTCTCCTCAAACTTTGCTTGGCTCCATTGCCATCACCCCTTTAGAGCAGTGGTCAGTGTGCCTGGGTTTGAGGAAGTAGGAGTTCTGCCTGGCTCTGCTCAGGGCTGATGAAGGCAGCAGACATCTGTGTATGTCCTGGAGGTGGGGGTGGGGTGGGGAGTGGCAAGCCAACCCTGAGCTTCTGGGGCCTCACTCCTCCCATTCACCCTCACTCTGCCTCTGCCACTCTCTCCTGGCCTCAGATCCTTGGCCAGTTCCTCCACCTGGAGCCCTCTCTGAAGATCTGCACATAAAGCCACCTCCTCCACTCCTGCCTCTGCTCAGATCCTCAGTCTCAAAGAGACTCCAGGCAGGCTCTTTCATAGCCCCCTAAAAGTCACTTAATGATTTATTTTCTTTTGCACACCTGCACACACACCCCACCCCCACCCCCACCACCACCACCATACTTGTTTGCTCTTGAGACAGGGTCTCACCATATAGCCCTGGCTGGCCTAGAACTTGCTATATAGACCAGGCTGCCCTTGAACTCACAGACCTGCCTCCATCTGCCTCCCAAGTGCTGGCATTAAAGATCTGCACCGTCCAGCCAGGCTTATTTTCCTTCTTGGCTATACTTTTCCTCTACCTTCCTTGCCCTCAAGGGTCTTGCCTCAGCTCCCTAGACCTTCTTCTCCTTTGCTTTGTCCTCAGAACAAGACTGACCTTCCAGAGGCACACAAGTATTTCTGAACAAATAGACTTCTTCACCACTGAGACTTTGTCTCCCCGTGCTTCTGTGTGCGCACACGTGTGTGCATCTGGCCCTCCCTGGCTGTCCCTGTTCCAATCTTCACTGTCCAGCCCTTTGCCCTTCAGTCCCTACCCTGCCCCACCTACACCCTGTGGCCCTAGATAAGAAGCTACCGGTGTCCTTTCCTTGGGAAGCGAGCCGGGGAGACCCCGGAGGAGCGAGGAAGAGGAGGAGAGAAGATGGGGAAGCGGGTTGGCCTGGCTAAGCAGCTCTTCTTCCCTTTCTTTCAGGCAGCCTGACAAGCTGGTGGTGGTATGGACCCGGCGGAACCGGCGGATCTGCTCCAAGGTGAGGAAGCTTGGCAACTGGGGTCCAGGTTGGGATGCAGTCAGGGGTAGGGCCAAGGCGAAGGCAGATGGGAATTGACGGGGGAGTGCAGTCAGGTTCAAGTCATAGTGGTGTCTCTAGAGAGAAAGGGAGATGGAGGGGAGAAGATAAGGGTGTGGTGGTGAGAAGGGGAGAGTTCAGTCTCGGGGAGGACTCCTGCTTTCCCTTGCAGGCCCACAGCTGGCAGCCTGGCATCCAGAACCCATACCGTGGCACCGTGGTGTGGATGG